ACCCTGTGAATAACAGTTTCAACAGCTAAGACTTGAGGCTGGCTTGTACTAAGATTTCAGATATTCAATAGAATTTTGAAAACTGGCTTACATGTTGCTTAAATGTGTTCCTTTCTCTGGTTTATTTATAAAATTTGCAGCAGTCTCATTAACACTGATTTGTGATATAATCTAATGTGTATGTGTACTTAACTAATGAAGTTAAACAAATGAAAACAATTTACATTAGGCTGTCAATTTTAGAGGTCAGCACAAATACAATTATACCAATTTAAATCCGATATAAGGGATGTGTGGAAGTGTTTGCCCTATATAATTTTTGATTTAGGATCTGTCCCATTGCCAACATATGTATCTATCATATATATCTTTCTTTTTACAGACGCAGAAAACAAAATAGGAGTCTGTTTCTGTAGAGCCTGACCTAGTGCTAGAAGTTAAGAGCAAGCCATTAATGTAGGAAGTGTTCTTGCTTTCATTTTACTGCTGCAGTCACGTTATTGCCTGTTATTACCCAGTAGTAAGATTGTGTCTACTTTTTTTTTTTAAACCAGAAGTTACTTTAGGGCTATTCAGGTGTTTTTCTACGCTCCACCAAATTCTCTATGCTCTGAAATCACTCCCCCAGGAAAGTGACCTTCTCAATAAGAAACTTGATCTTACAGGTATCAAATGACCTGAAAAGATCTTTCAGCAGTTTGGTCAGGATAACATTAATAACCCAGCCCACAGGGGAATACTATGTACCAAAGCCAATGTGAATTTGATGACTATGGACGCCAGGGAAACTGAAAAACCCTCAACATCGTTCACCAAACAGTAAATGAATGAATTCCAACTGATTATGTCTGCAAAACCATGAGCTGTCAGGTGGAAACTCTTCAACTTCCTAAAAAAGTTGCAATTCAGTATTTAGCACAACAAAAATACTGTCAGCATCTTCTCACCCTGGAATTGAAACTACTCAAATATGTAAGAGATTTGTTATAGTATGCCTTTTTATCATATCCAAACAAGCTACCACAGCAGCAACAAGTACAGTGCCATTAAAACATATCAAAGAATCTATATGCCAATACAAATATATAGGATATTGAACTGAAAAACAATTACGCACAGCACTTTAACATTCTAAAGAACTTGAATGTCACACGTATTTCACAGCTCTGGAAAAAGGAATTTTGATCCACTGTAATCAGCATTTTTATTTGAAATTTAAGTCACACTTTCTAAATATATACTCATCAATCACCTCAAAGCCCTATGCATTTAGGAGTTACAATGCCCTATCATTAGTTGTTCTAAGCTGATAAATGACTAATGGAATGCCAAGTCAGCAAGTCAGCCAATATGAGCGATATGTTTCATAGTTAAGGCTGCCATATAAGCAATGTCTTGTACAAAAATTTCCTTCATAAAACTGCACATAGAACATACTAGTTTCTAAAAACAAGGCTGTGTTGTACAAATAACCACTTATAATTAAGAAAACTATATGATACTGAAACATTGAGCTTTGACTTAAGGAATATCTTCAAGATCCTTCAAAGTCTCACATATCTTTTACTGTCTCAGCATGGATCAGAACACCCTTGTTTGATGTGAATGGGATTTTTTTTTTAACATTAATTGCCCTACATATATCAGCAGTGTAGGGTTGGTAGTCTTCAAAAAAAATCTGAAAGTCTCACAATCTATAGCATACTTTTTAGTAAGAATAAACTGAATACTGGAAAGTTACCACAGGGGGAAAAAAAAAGAGTGTTTTTGCTCTATCCCCACCTTCTGGCTAGAAAAAGAATTTTTCTATTACAGCATCCATATTTCTGAATTTATTTTTCTTTTACTGTATGACTATAACCAGAAAATATTGACTATTTGTATTACAAAACATAAGATTCTTTTTTTAGCAGTCCCTCACTTCTCCAGAAAAAAAACAAAATGAAACTCCACAGCATGAATGTCCTCTCTAGCACCGTGTTGATTTTCTGACTCAAAACAGCAGACGTATTTACATTCAAATAGAACAGTGATTACTTGGGTTCCCAACCCACTAAAGTTAACAAGTTCATTTATTCTGTTGACACCATTAGGAGTTAAAATGGCTAAATCTCTCCACAGATCTAACCTTCCCTGACATACTGTTCTCAATGCTTACACTTTTTAAAATAGCTTTAAACCTAATAATCAGGTGATTTATACTACTCATAAAATATTAAGTTTACTTGCTCTACAAATTAATACAATAGTATGCATGAATGTAATTTTAAAGATTTCACAACTATCTTCTCTGCTTGCTTACCTTGCAAGCAAAATGATGCAAGCACAAGAGCTGGAATAGTGTATACTCCTCAGCAGAAGACTTACTCAAGTGGGTAAACAGCAGATCTCCTTTCACCAGTCACTCCATAAGTGAGATCAAACAAATATAGCAGCAGTACCACTCTCTTTCCTCATAGTCACCCGCTGATCAACAAACATTTTTCCTTCTTTTGTGCATCAATCAGTTACGATACCACCCTGGCCCAAGGACTAACATCAGCTACGTGAAAAGCTGAAAACCAAGACAAGGGCCATCAGAAGTACTTTGGCCAAATTCTTCTATTTTTTCATTTTCACTTTTCACCCTTTCATTGATGGTCATAGTAAAAGGGCAGGGTAGGATGAAAAACAGAACATTGGGAAACCTGCAAAGAGAAGAATATGGAAAAATTGGATGTCTTAAAGCCACTTTAATTTTTTAGGTCCTGCTTTCTAAGGAAATAAGGAGTCATAACTGTATTGTTAGAGAGCATCTCTTTCCCAAAATCTCTTGAATCTTATCTTTAAAACCAGAGGAAATTCAATAGTGAATCAATTGTCTCAGAACTCTAAATTTCTCAAGGTTTCATGAAAACAGTTGAATAGGAGAGACACCTTATAAATGCATCAACATGACTCTTCCCTCAGTAATCCTTGCCTTTTTCCTCCTAACAGCAGAATCAACACAGGAACTCAAATAATAAGAACATAACTTAATGAAGTTTTCTAGTACAGATCTGGTTTAAAAGAATACTTTATAGAACTATGTGCTTTGATGCTCTGTCATTAAATAGAGATTTGATAACAGAAATAGATTATTACTATAGCCTCCAAATTTGTATTAATTGGAAGTGTTCATGGGTATTTAGACCATACTGCTGTACGGAGTTTTGATTTTAAAAATCCAGTAAGGAGTACTGTATACAGGAGAGACCCACGTATGTACGTGAAGGAGTACAGAAGAGCTGCCAAATACTAATATAATTAACTTTATGGTGAACATTCAAGAAGATACTAGAAAAACATAATAGCATTTTATATTTCTGAATGCTTAAGCACACTACATTGACCACATTAATTTCCAGTAAGTATTTATTTAAAGTTTAAGAGAGAAGCCTGAATACCTGCCAAGCTATCCAGGTCTTCTTAATACCTGCCTTCTTCAGCTATTACAAAACAGTGACAATGGAATGTCAAAAGTCTCTCTCCTACTAAAAAAGGGCACTTCTTAACCATGAATACAGGCCAAAACCACTGTATAAAATATTTTAAAAGTACTCTGGTTGGTTTTAACCCTTCATTGCCTCCCTTACCCAGTGGTAGCTGATCACCAATCTACTACATGGGAATAAGAATATTCCACACTATGCTCAGAGTGGATCTTGCTCCTAGGAAAATCAAGACTAAAATAAAACATTTCAGGGGAAATTAGGAGAAAACATTTCTAACACAAGAAGATCTAGTGTTGCAATAAAATTGTTAAATCACAGACAGTAATTGCAAAGAAAAATATAAATACTTAGATCTTCCTTATTCCTGAGAATGTACTTGAGATTATTAAATCCTCTACATGTGTAGGTTCTCAGCCTTCTTTGTGGATTCCAAGGGAGTAAGAGAAGAAAAGGCAGAATAATCTCGTCAACCCTTAAAAGAAGCTCACTGAACTAAGCTCTCTGAGTTAAGTGGAAGAGTAATCCTTCATTTCTGCATACTGGAAAAGAATGACTTTTCAAAGGCTGCACAGGATTTTAAAAAGCACGTGGACATGACATGAAATTAAAAGTACTGGCATTGCTACAGTTTTCTTAGACTACTAAAATATTTCTAAAATGCAATTCTTTTTTGCTGAGTTTCTAGAATATATCCAGTAAGATGTTAAACAAAATTAGACTACTAATAACACTTTTAAAGATCCTTTATTTTAAGAATAGTTCTTTGTGCATATGAAGGATCGGCTACCACATATTCCACAAAACTGTATTATCAGCTCAAACTGTGAGATTCAACTATAATTTTATTAAAACATCCCTTAAGCAAAGTGTTCAGTAAATGGTTACAAGTATCATATCAGGAATAGAATATGATCTTAATTTAAGAAGACATATTTATATATGTACATTTCCAGACCTATGACAAGTTAGGATGACACCCAAAAGGGGGGAGGAAATAGCTGGGCATTCATGACAATTTATCTTTGTTATTTTTACAAGATCTAACTTAAAAAACAACAGCTGTGCCAGATCTTTTCTTCTCCATAATCTGTGCATCTGTCCACACCAACTGAATTACAGACCACCAAGTTGTCTCATACACCACAGCAAACAATAGGCCACCTTAACAGTTCAGAGCATGATTTAAAATACCAAATATGTATTCTTTCCCCAGAACACAGAAGTTTTAACCTACTTTTCAAAGTAATTTTAAAAATATTAAGACATTAATCAATAAGTTGATGGCAAGATATTTAATACACTTGCTTCTACAGTGATTATTTTGAAAGCCAAGATTTTATTTAACTAGTAAATCTGCTTTAAACTGCACAATCTATAACAGATTTTGTGAAATCTGCATTTTTTTTATTACTGTTCTCCTTTTGAAGTTTCACACTTCTAATAATAGATGCCACATTGTACCTGAAGAGTATGTACGGTACAGGCATTCCTCCATCATTATGAAAGAAATAAAGTACATCAAAAGTCTTAAATGACAAGTGACATTCACTTTAAAATTATGCGTGAAGTGTATGAAAATTGACATTGTAAGATTTTTTTATTTTTTTTTAAAGAAAGAGCAAGATACTCAGAGTCAGGAGATAGACGTCAATAAAACTGCATACTTCCACAAGTGCTAAAGCTGGCTCACAGTGTCTCAAGTTAGTAAGACAAGATGGAAAAACATGCTTTAAAATTCCAGTGGTCTGTTTTCTAGCCTCTGCTTTTCTTTAAAACAACCTGCAAAAAGAAAAAAAAGTATATTTATCACCGCTTTTATCACTACAATTCAAGTCCAAAATGCTAGGCTACTCAGACCAAAGGTTCACCTAGCCAATTTGTTTCCAAGACTTGAGTCACCAAGGTGAAAATTCTAGGGAAAACGTTAGAAATAAAGCAAAAGCATACTGAAAGATTTTATATCAGAGATTTTTTTTTAAGCAAGAACATTCATAAGTAAAAATTCTGTAAAATAAAAGACTTATTTTAAAAATTAATGCTGAGAAATGGTAATAGTGCTCTCAAGCCCTCAGCAGATTCCTTGAAGTTCTTACCCTGTTAGGCCTAGACAAAAAGAAAAATTAAGGTTTGCCATCATACAGCTACTATGCTCAATTTGTGTTTGCAATGCCTTATTTCTTTCTATATCAAGAGCACACAGACCTTTGGAAGGACATTTTTTGGTTTGGAGTTTAAATTGAAAAATGAACTTCAAAGCCCAAGTGGGACTGTTTAAGTGTTAACATTATTAAAATACAGGCAGTTTTTCCTTTCTTTTCATCTTAAAAAAATAAATGGAACACAAAAATGTTCAAATAATGTTAAGACTGCAGTTAAAAAGAAATTACAAATGCATAAGATTCCAACTGTAACATTCACTTGGCTACCCTACATATCCTGTATATATTTTTGTTACTATAGTAATAGAAAGTATCAAACTAAACCTTTCACCAGAGGAAAAAAAAATACTGAAAACAAACAGAAGCCACAGGACCAAAATATCAGATAACATCGAGTTTTGTTCTTCCAATTTGCCCAGCAGGAGTAAGTGGTTAAATAGTTAACAAATTAAAGAGACCAAGTTCCTTCATGACACCAAGGTAAATAGACTTGAAAGAGATACACAAGACATATCCTAGAGAGTGAAATGCACTACTGAGTACAAAGGGATTTCAGTCATACCTTGACACTAATTCTTTCTAGATAGAGAAAGCTGCTTAACACCTTCCTTTTTCCCTTCTTTTGCATGTATACAAAATTCACCATCCTTCACAGATATTCATACAGCAATTTTTGTTATGCTAAATTACCCATACAGCATCCACAGTTCAATCCTCCCTTCGTTCTTCCCTTGCCAAACACAACATCGCACAAAGTATCTGCTTGTTCAAGTAGTATCCACACAGTGCTGCAAGAATCCACTACAAATTTATTCCAGACTAAGCAGGTAAGAAGTGAAGGTGTAAAAAAATATGCAAACCTCTCTGGACTATTTCTCACTTGTTCCATAAAGCTTCACTTATATAACTGAAGTTAAGACAGCATGCTTCCTTGATGTAGTATCATCTGAACTAAGGATCCTCAACTTTAGAGAGGCTTTCAACCCATGAATGCTTGCTGGTAGACCACTTTGTAGAGTTACCCATACATAGAAACTATGAGTTTAAACACAGAATAATAATAATAATAAAAAAACCAGGTTATACTTAATAGGGCAAGGAAAGATAATTTGTTGTCTGGGTAACAGTGAATTATGCCAGTGATGGACTAAAGAATATTAAGTTTCTATACATTTTGAATTATAAATAAAATATCAACTTTAACATAGAAAATATTTGTATATGCTGTCATAATACATTTTACATTATGCAAAAAAGAAAAGTTTTAAAAGTCCTTTAATACCTTTGCGGCAGATATGGTGTGCTCGGGTTTAATTATTTTACTTTTGTTCTCAAAAGCATTTGTCCTGGCTTCTTCTGCTAGCCGATGGAGAAACAGTAAGAAGTTCAAATGCACCTTTAAAATAGGGAAGAAAAAAACAAAAAAAACGAGAATGATTGAAACTTGATTAAGCATAGTTTGGTTTTTTAGAGGTTCATTGTTTGGGACAAAGGATTTGCATATTAGACTGTTTCCAAATTTCTGAAAGGTGTTCTCAGAAAAGCAATATATCACTCAGTTCAAGCCTTAGTAAATTTCCAAGACATCCTTTACTGCAAGACTCTTATAGTTTAAGTTTAGCATACTCAAATTGTAAAAATGCTTTAGAAATGATCAAACGACAACTGATCTAATAGGAATCGAGTCTGATTTTTATTAGCAATTTTTAATAATAATAAAATGTAGACATAAATATCAGAGAATCAGGAGCCTTTTTGCTTACTAGTAAATATAGTCAGCTTTCACTGACTACAACAGCCAGACTTTTATGAACAACAAATTCATCCCTCCTCTATCGCCAAATGGACCACAGATGAGATCAAGGACTTCTGCCTCTTTCCAGTGCAAAGAGACATTGACATTAATTTCTCCAGAACAAGAAATTCTCCCGTGTCGGAAGGTTCCATCCATTTTTTCCCAGCTCATCACTTACTTAGCCTTTTTATATTAGAAGAACTGGTAGGGCAGAATTCCATTCAATACGGAATTCCGTTCTGCTAATACAGAAGCTGCAAAAAATTTCAGCAGGCAAGGAAGGAACTGCTCCAACTTGGACTAAAACGACCAGTCAATAGCACCTCTGTGTAATCAGGGACCTATAATACAAACCTCTAACATGATACAAATATTATGTGAACTATTTTAATAGTCCCACCTGAAAATTGATAATTACACCTTCTGCAAATTTAACTTTCAAACAGTATTACCTTTGCTATGTAAAGTGTACAAAAATACTTTCACAATAAAGAGCTCAGAAAAATATTATTAAAATATATGAAAATTTTATTTACATGAATTAGGCAATGTATTTACTCTGCTGCACCTGACCTGTAAAGCCTAGAAAAATATAACATGGATATAACATGGAAAGTTACAGATAAAGTGGGTTTGCAACAAAAAAGAATTTGCAGCAATAAGAATCTGCTAGAGGACAGGCTCTTGTCATATGAACAGCATTCACAGGACAAGCTATTTGGGATTTTTTGTATCCTGAACTAAATGAAGCCAGTATGCAATAGATAAATTTACATAATATTTGATATAATTTGGAAGCATCAAATACACAAAAAGCAGATGTTCTTGCAGATTTACTTTGCAAAATATCAAAGCTGCTTTTTAACTAGTAACTCACATAGACATTATCTCTGACAGAGTGGCACTAAAATAATGCTCAACATTAGAACTCTCACTATTAAACTTATCAATGTGACGGTTAGATTTCTGGAAGTAACCTGGGGGAGAAGAGGGAAGTGGAACAAAAGCTTCCATACTTGCAAGTCCTTTTGCTGAGATACCTAAAGGCAAAAGCGTTAATTCTAAAATTAACTGCCTTTCTAAACTGCATCTTGTCAGAATCGCTCTACTTTTATTTTCCTATTTTCAAAGTAAATTGCTGCATATGGAGAAGCTTCCTCTGAACTCGAATAGATTTAAACAATAGTCACAACATATTCCACAACAGAGCACACAGGTTAATAAATATTCCAGGTTATTCAAAGCACTTGAGAAAAGCTAATGAAAGGCAGAATGACTAAATACCGTGAATAGGACAGTTACTGACAAGTATCTAAGTGATACCATATTTGTTCAAAGACATTGCTTTATTACATATGAAATTATTGTCCCTGTGCATATAAATTAAAAACTGTTTTGAATTAACTACTCGTGCAAATCATCTTACAAAACAGAATGCTTACTTCCCAGAAAAGAAAGGTTGCAAAGTTTTAACAACTTTGTAAAAAACTCACAATACTGTTTGCACAGCAACTTCCACACACCTGCTCAACAGAACTAATGAATAGCAGAGAAAAGCTCTGTAATTTTATTTTGCTGCCTTAACTTCAAAACAATTCTTTAGACTGATATTTTGCCTTAAACGTACACTTATTAATCATTCTGTGGTGATAACAAAGAAAAAAGAGGCCATTCAGTGCAATACTTTAAGCTTTTCCTGCAACGAAAATATACACATGCCCTTCTAGCATAAAACAAGCAGCTGAGATCTTGCTTTTCTCCTATAATTTCAAGCTAGAACAAAGTTTGTATATTTTCTTCTCAGACTATTGGAGGAATATCTGAACTTCAGCACTAAAATCTTTACCTCCTATTTTCAAAAAGAGCCTTGAAAAAACCTGAAACACTCTTCATATTTCTTCATCCAAAGAAATACCAATTATCATACTCCTTCAAAAGAAAAACAAAACCAAACAGCTTCCTGAGAAAGGTTGATGAAATTTGATACCTACATTGTGCAAAGAGAAAGATGTTAACGCTTAGGAAACAGATTCTGACAAAGCTTCACATTTTGAAAGGAGACTTGATCAAAAAAATCTGAAAAGTGAAGAAGAAACCCCATTCAAGTATTTAACAAAATTATCTGAATTCTTACATCTTTCAAACTTGTTAGTTACGATCACATACGAAGATATTGGTTTAGTCGACTAAAAATAATCACTGAAGGTCCAGCAAAAAAACCAATCTGATTATCCCCTAAGCTAGGTGGGCAGACCATCTCACTGAACTGGACAAGTACTGCAGTAGATTCAAACATAAAGCATGGATCATTCAGGAAGATAAACTAGAAACTGAACTAGCCAATTCTCATTCTTCCCTGGAGAAGACACAAGCTGTCCGCTCAAAATGTACATGGTTCCATCTTGTTAAGACAGTTACTATATAAATGTCTGAAGTACGCAATCTAACCACTGGTACGGTGTTTGCAGAGAATAAGAGACACTAGAAAACGTATTCTCAAAACTTGTTACTTGTCTAACTACTAAGTACAGAATAAACTCCTCCATACTTTTTTTTTTAAGGCAAAATTCCAGCTGTGTTGATTATTTGTCCATAGAAATAAAGAGTTAAAGAGCTGTTAGTCATGTGCCTAGCTGAAGAACATTATGGACAACAACCACACCTGGACATTCCTATTTAAAGGTAGAAAATAAAAAAGCCAAGCCTTGTAACATTAAAGGCCATTTAATTTGACAAAACCAGAAGAGATAATCTAATTTTCCATTACAGTATTAAAATTTATTCTGATATTCCTCCTTTGTGTGGGAATGAACATTTGATTAGCCATATTTTAAGCTAGATCTGATTGTTGTTGTTCATAAGTTTCAGTCAATTCAATTCACTGATTGCCTTTGCAGCACACAGAACACTAGTGACAGGACCACAAAGAAATGGGAACCAAAGGCCAAGATTTGGAGGGACGTCCCACTTACCTCTTTTCAGACAGCTACACTAATTTGAAGCCAAATTTTCATTACCCTGGAAACACAGACCAAGTGTCACCAATGACTACAAAAAATGTATTAGTGATTGTGTAAGTTTGATTAATTGACTACTTCGTTCCACTGAATAAGCTTTCATTGGGTCTGAGCATGAGTAGCAAGGGGCCAGATCCTTAGTCCATGAAAAACTCCAGAGATAACAAAAACAGTAGGAAGAAATCATGTTTTTGTTAGCTCAATTAGAGAAATATTTACTGTTTACATTCAAGTCTAAATACTCTCATGGAATTATTATGTTAATTCATATTAATCTCATATTATTTATTTTAATTTTGTATGTTTACATTTAGCTTCATATATCCAGATACCAACCTTCAAGATGCTGCAAGACACAACTTTCATACACGTATGAAACATGGACTTACAATTCAAGTCAGGGACCATACTAGTACAGAGTATGCATTAACACTTTAATGCTCTGAGAATCACATGCATTTGTAAACAAGAAGGCAACACAGTCAAGCAAGTTAAGCCTATTAAGTCACTTCAAAGAATATCCTTTTTATGCACAATTTTTTTTTCAGTATAGCAGCTACCACAAACTCTCGTGGTCAGGTATCCTTGCTGTAATCAAATAAATCCTTGGTGAGACAAACCCTACCTGTGCCACAAATCTCTCAGTGCAGATCAGAAGCGATGTAGCTGTGTTGGCCTCAGTTTTTGGAAAGTTGTTTGATATGGCTCTACACCTTTTTGGCAGGCATTTTTAAACCATGAACAGGATCCCCACACCTTATTAGATTAGCAACAAGACTTGTCATTCCTTAGTTTTGGACAGAGATTACTTAGAAGGCCTTCAAAAAATATATGATCATATAAGATGCCTGAACAACTTAGCAACTCATTGATCACAACTGATCACTTGCACACCCAAATTGATCTACATTAACAACAAACATCTGCGTGTTATAGCCACGTAAGCCAAATTCATATTTCTCGGTCCGTCTACACCAAACTCTTTGAAAAGCAGTGTGTACGTGAAGTGACACAATAATTACGCATCAGCCTGTCCCTGAATCCCCAAACTCGCTGTCAAAGCCCTACAATACAGCACCCACCAAAGAAAAGAGCAGCAATCTCTACTTATCCGTATGTTACCAGGCAAACCAACAGTCCATCTCCCCACAAACTTTGCCTCCCCTCTGCTCGTAGGTCACTGCAGAAACACCATCAGTAGGAACTTGGCATCCCGTCAACTCCCAAGTGCTCCAGTGCGCACCACCCAAAACATTTAGAGCGTAAATGTCCCCACTCAGGGATGGCTGCCCCCAGGCAACCAGCAGAGCCGCAGCACCGCCACGGCCAAGAGCAGAACCGCCCCCGGGCTCCCCGGGGCAGCTCCAGACTCGCCCCTCCCCCGCCCCTCTTTCTCTCCTCACCAGCAGGTCCGCGTTCGCCGCCAGGCGTAACTGCGGCTTGTATTTCTTTATTATTTTCCGCAAAGTGCTGCGGGGCACCGTGCGCCTCATCTTCCTCTGCTCTTCTTCTTTTCCCTGCTCCTGTTCCTCCTCCTCCCGCCGCCCTCGCTCTCTCCGCCGTTCGAATCCGCCGCCCTCGCGCAGGCGCGCGCGCCCGCCGTGACGCCACTTCCCAACGGCCGCGCGAGGCGCCGGCACCGCCCCCGGCGCCCCGCCCCGCCCCGCCCGAGGGAGGCGGTGGCGCCCCCGCCCTTCCCTGGGAAGCGGACTGGTTGTCCCGAGCGGCTTGGGAGCTACGGGGAGAGCGGGGGGCTGGTGGAGTGATTTCTCACCTGTCTCAGCGGGCACTGCTAGCGCACGGCCACGTCTCGGGTGCGGCGGCTGCCGGCTCGGGAGGCGCGGCCCCGCTGCCGCGGTGGCGTACGGGGGGGTGAGGGGCACTCCACGAGGAGGTGCCCGAGGGACAGGCGGGTCCCTGCTGGACACCACCACAGTCGTTCTCGCAAGCACGTGTGTCCAAGCGCTTCCCTTGTGAGCGAACCGAAATTTGACTTTAGTTCCCAAACCTCCACCCGGGCCCTTTTAATCGAAAGGGCAGAGAGGGGCCGCAGCAATTCCCGACTGGCTTTTCCGAGCCCTCGGACGTGACCGCCGCCACATGCAGAGGTTTCCTGAAACGGAGGGAACGTGGCACCGGCCAGAGGCACCGGCACGGCGCTGCCTAAACAAGCTTCAGGCCAAGACCTGTGTGGATTTTAACTTGGCAGTCGTCGCCCAAGTGTGATGTTTGCCACAGAAGCCAAGGGAGTTGTAACAATGCGCTTGTTCTTTCCTTCACTGTGTGACCCTGCCGGGAAATGTGACAGGACTGTAGGACCGGGAGCCTACAAGCTCCATAATCTTGCACTGAAATGAGCCTAGAGTGATAGTTATGTTCCACACATAAATCTGGACAAAATACTGCATTAGTACACCTGTGGCATTGACTTAATTGTACACAAAACCACACACTGGTTCTAAAGTCGGCCACCACTTAAACGTGTCATCCTTCCTCCAGCATCTGTCCCTACACTTCTGTTTTAGCTGACGGATGCTGCTGACTGAAATACAGGTTTCCCCGCAGAGGGGCCCCTGTAGCTTGGCATTCTCAGTGTATTTGGACTGTGTGTACTTAGTTGGAGAAGGGGTCAGGATTTCATACTGAGGTATGGGGTTTTTCAGCGTATTTATTAGTTTTTCGTTTTCTTTGGCCTATGGGATGCTTGCAGATTTAAATGTTGATAGGATATATATGAAGTCTTAATATATTCAAAAGTATCAGCACCCAGATATGAATCAGTTTTATTAAAGTATGTTCTTAAGTCTGTATGATTTTGTATTTTAGTTAATTTTACAATATGCACAAAATGTAGTCCAGATAGAAGTATATCTGACAGTGAGAGAGAATTTAAGATTTGCCAGTTCTTCATACTCTGTCAGATCTTTGAAAATTATGCTTTGTTCTTTCAGCTTTGACTGTCGCTTTCCATTAATCGTCAGTAGCGATTTAGATCTTAAAATCGGGGTCTTAGCATTTTTTCTGTGAGGGAATAAGCACACTAACTTGTATGGCTTTTTTTTTACAGTTTAATAATAATCACAGTTAATGGTTCAGCAGCACTGCTAGAAGTAAACATTTGGGATTTTTCAGCTAACTAAACGGCTCTGACTCAGGAACTACATAGGGTCAAATACTATAATGCTCATAATATACACATAGAAACTTGCATCGGAATCAACAATTATTCAGCATGTCAGCAGATTCAAATCTACAGCTGGGGTAAATCAGTAGTTCCACTGGACCTTACTTGAGCTGAGAATTGGGCCTTAGAATCTCACACTGTTGGTGGGAAACTGATGTTGGAAAATGCTATGGGCAAGTATTTTACAAACTGTAAGAATTGCAAAAGGGCCTCTACTATAGGTCTAAAACTATTAAAATACATCACACAAATTTGAAACTGTGCAGTCACCTGCAGGGAATGACAGATACTGGAGACTCAAGACTAGTAACCTTTAGTCATGTGCTTGCTGTATAGACAAAGACTGAATAATAAAATCTACTATTAAGTGTAATACTGTGGATTCTGATAGTTTTATATTTCTAGTGGACTAGGGGTTTTTTATTGTTGTTTTTAACCACAGAAAATAGTAAAGTCCTGACTCAATTCTACTTATATACAAGATTTTCTTTTTTCTTATATTTTGAAAAATTTATGGCAGTAGTTACTTCAAGCAATTGATAACAGAGGTCAAATGTAAAAATAATAAGTTACAGGGTCTGATCTACTGAACAAACATGAACTTTGGTATTTCAGATTTTTCCTTGAATTGTATTTTAGGCTATTTTTCAATAAATATTTCTATAAATATGATTTGTAATAGCTTAATTTTAATACAGGAATATTGTAGAAAAAGAAAAAATTATACTGCTGTACATCATGCATTGTAGTAAACAAAAATTATTTTATAAGTTAACTAAATAACTAAACAAAAAAATCACAACTGTTTCAATGACTTGATCTGTATTAGCACAAGGATTAATGATTATTTACAGTGTGTCATAGAAAACTGCTATCTCTCTTTATATTTCTGATTTTGAACATGACAGTTTTCCTTTTCTGTCTCTCTGATAGAATCCATAATGTTCTGTTATAATGCTACTATGAAATATCATTTAAACAGCTAAAAGAATAATGCAAAATGTGCTTTAAATTAATTCTTCGAAAGGTGAAATCACTAATTTTTTCATGCTCATGCAGCTTTATCAGAAAGGCAGTTCTGTGCCTTACAGGCTGCCTATTCAAAAGCTGCAGGAGTTTTGCACCGTTTTCTACAAGCAGTTACCTTCTTTCCAAATAGTGTTTCAAGAATTTAATATTTTTCTACTTTTTAACAATTGCAGTTTTTAAGCACACATTAGTTCATGTTTCATGGCTTCAGCTGCAGCACAACATCTTCCCAGTTTTCCAGCAATACTGAACTGTGATTTAAAATTAAAGGCATCAGCTGGTACCAATGATTAGAGCTAGAAAAATTCAGCAATTAAAATGCTACCATCCAGGTCTGACTTCTTCAAGAAAAAAATCTTTTAAGGTTTGTTTAGTTTTCTTTTTAAGATAGGCAATTTCAGTGGCATTATTTTGCCACTCTTGCTTCCAGATTATGTGGGTTCCTTGAAAACACTTCCGTACATTTCAGTGGCTAAAAAGAGGCCAAGCCTGGGGCCATCACTGCTGAACCACAAACCAGTAAACATTTTGTTCTCCATTTCTGTAAGGAAAGAGATGAATTTAAAGACTAATTTTATCTACTCCTCTAGTACACTATAAGCCGAATCAAGGGTAATATTTGGAAATGAAATTGAAAAGCAGTGTTTCCTTTTTGCCCTGAATTTTTTATAAGCACATCCTGCCTTGTTAAATTCGCTCTCTCAGCCTGTACTTGTAGCTATTAGCTTAATTATTTTGGTTCTGGATTTTGACATTATCTTTTCAGACTCTTCATCAGCTCTTCATCAAATCATAAGACAATCTTCCCCAAAAAAATACTAAAGAATTCCATTTTAAGTGTGTGATATCTTGAATTTAATAAACACATTTTATAGATTCTTGCTAAGCCAGAGGTCCCTCAATTTCTTCTTTAATCAGGTAGAGACTGTTAAATATTTTCTGATGCTAATCCAGTTTCAGTGGTTGATGAAAGACTTTGAAAGTTATCCTGGATAGGTCAAAGCCTAAAATCTTTTGAAGTTTTCTTTGGTGATGAAAAGATATCTCTAAAACAGAACATAACAATTCAGCAAATGTAAACTCTTCTATAATGTAGTTGATAGGCTTGATCATAATGTTTGTGGTACACAGACTGACTCTCCTGTTACATCTGTATATTATTTCTATTGGATAATTCAGGTGTGGTTGAATTCTTTTGTAGAGAAACAGGGAAAGAGATAATACAAAGGAGCAAACTGTATGTTTTCCTCTCCTCTGTGAAACTTAAGCAAACCTCTTCCTTGAAAAAGAATGTGGAAATGGCAATTTTAACAAGAAACTATTGCCCTATGGCTGTTACTATTAATGTAATGGCAATACTTTAATTGCAGTAGTAAATACTAGAAGCTCAAAAATGTGTTTAGCATTTTATCTTCATTAAGAAGTAGAGAAGTCTCTAAAATTAAATATTTTAATTACCTGTTTTTTTTTTAATTTAGTCCTATTTTTATCTGTTTTCAGGCCCAGCGCTTAACAGTAAAAAACCAGAAAGGCAAAACATCATAAATTACATTTGAAATTCGGACTATTTGCTGATTTTAGGGCTTACAATTTAAACTTCAGTTTCATTTTTCGGCACATTCTGTGTATCAGCTCTCTGTATGTCAGTCTCTGAAGAACCTGTCTAAAGTCAGTTGACTTTCACAGGCCAGACACTGCCTGTTGTGATTGCTTTGATTGCATTCATAAAATGAATGTCATTCATACTTCTTCATTGGTTTCCTTCAGCTCTGAAATATGAAATGGTATGCTACAGAATGGCCTTCTTAGCTATACAACTTTCCACCAGTTTTCTGGCTGTCGCTGCAGAGGAAAGTGGGTGATCACAGTTTGAGACATCCACATCTGAAGCAAAAAATTAATCTCTTGCTGGTGTTTCTGATTGCCAGTAATCCTTAGCTCTCCTAAAGCAGAGGAGGAAGTGCTCATAATGCCACTGTAAATGAAAAATGCCCACTTCTTTTCTGGTACAGCCTGAATACTCTGTGAATGTACTAAAAAAAGGGGCATACATGCATATTTGTTAACATTGAAGCCTATTAGACTACTGATCACATGATCAGACCAAGAAAAGATAAATACAGTTAATTATATTTTTTAAATTAATAAATAGTTAGTAGGTTGATAACCAGTGGGGTGCCTGCCTGCCAGCTGTTTTGTCTCAGTGCCCCTGATGATGGATTTCACCAAACTAAATGCAAAGAAAACCAACAAAGTAGCAGACAGGTTAGGTTTCAGATTAGGTGAATTGATTACTGATTACTTAAATCACACTTCTTGTGACATAAGCCAAACCATAACATTACTGCA